ACAATCTGTGAAATTATATTCCTAGTAGGTGGTCCTTGAAAATCTAACGTGGTCCTTGAAAAGTCCTTGAAAAATGGTTGCAATTTTTTGTATGAACCCTGCCTGCACTCATAGACATTCCTCTGAGGTCCTTTTGTGGGGAAGCCAGCAGTGTAGTCGTTTTCTCAGGCTCCATGAGGACTTACGGAAAATAATGATTTCATTAATAGTAAATGCATATGACTGGTACACAAATGTAATTATTATATAGCTGGAAACTTTTCCAACAACGTGCGCTCTCATTGGTTACTTTTAGGTCACATGACATCTAACAATAAAATTGCTTTGTGCCAAAATCTCTGAGCAGGCAAAATTACAAAAATTAATTACAAAAAAAGAAACATTGTAAAATCTATGACGTCGGAGAGTAAGAGTGCACTGTTACCCGCAAATGTTGATTGATGACCGTTTTTACAACGAGGTTTAATGAATTTCCAGCTTCAAAATTTGCTTTAACTGTTTCCCTCTGGACCANATTGTAAAATCTATGACGTCGGAGAGTAAGAGTGCACTGTTACCCGCAAATGTTGATTGATGACCGTTTTTACAACGAGGTTTAATGAATTTCCAGCTTCAAAATTTGCTTTAACTGTTTCCCTCTGGACCAGTCTTTAATTGTTGGGTGCTCGTTTAGTTTTTCAGTACTTGGTTAGCTGCTATTCCTGGGAACTATCAGGGCTGTCACCAGACTATGTCCCTATTCTGCAAAAATAACTGTTTAGAAATTCAGAGGTTGTAGTTTACTGTATGTAGGGTGCAAAAGTTTAAAACATCTCTTTACTGTACCTTGCAGAGAAATCAACTAGTGAAAGAAGAAGTACAGACATGATGCCAAAGAGGTGAGTTCTTTATATGTCTTGATTATGCATAGCTTGTCATAGGCATAGGTGGAAAGAAAATGTGAGTGCACGTTAAAAAGAGAGGAACCTTTAATCTCTTTTTCTATCCTATTAGAGTGCACAATGCCACAAAAGAAAACATGCACAAGCCAAAGCAACCTTCAAGGTGTAACAGTGTTGTAGAGCTTGACAAACTGCAGTCAAAGAAAGTTAAGAAACACATGAATGGACTAAGAAGAGCAATGAGTAGCACAAGTATCGGAACAAGCAGAAGCTTTGCACCACGATCATCGTAAGTATTATTTAGTACCATCCGATAAACTAGTTACTATTAATGATAATATTATTCAAAAATGTTGTTGATCACTTATGCAAGTAGCATATAGTATTAGTGAGTCTTGCATAGTTAATTAAGTGTAACAAAAGTTTGTTGATCAACAAAATTTAGCATTGCCGAACAAAAATACAAGTTGACCTTTTTGGTTCAGCAATTTGACCAACTGTGCCACAATTCTTTAAGTATTTATTATAAAATTCAATATAATATTAAAAATGCCACCATGATGTCTGATAAAAAAGAATTATTTTTACATAGTTTACAACATGAAATTTTGTTGTAAAAATTTGCCGCTGACTTTATTAGTAACTCTCGCCTTTATTCAACACTTATGATAGGCCATTTCCGAGTTCCCTCGGGCCTCTGTATCAAAACGAGGCTAAGTGCTCAACATTTGATATCGAAATGATTTTTCATTCTCATGCAAATAAAACTCATTTTTACTTGAAAAGGTTGTGCACTTAGCCTCACTTTGAAAGTGTGGGTTTTGGAACTCGGAAGCGGCCTATTGCGGACGACAAGAGGAGCCCGCAATCCTTAAATCTCCAGGTTGTTATTACGCATGCGTCGCATGTATGTAGCCAGCATTTGATTAGACTTCCACTAAGAATGAATGGAATGCACAGAACGCATTTCGACCTCCTACCCCTCGTAATCTGATCGCGCGTGTTTTGACCATCTGTCACGAGAAACCTACGCAAAGCACTCACTGCGTTGGAGCAAAAGCGTTTGACCTTAGATCGTCGTCGCCCACACTCCGTAACCTTTGGTTATTACTAGTAATATATAGATTTAGCCAGGGTTAAAAGCGAAGCTCCCATTAATAAATTAATAATTTAAATCAAACAATAAACTTGTAATCCACAAATCAGTTAACTTAAGGGCACATTCATGTGACTTTAGAGGGAAAGGCTTAGTGATTTTAGAGTGAAACATCTTACATCGAGTTGATAGCCTTGTATGTACACCCAAAAAACAGCATTCATCTTCGATCACATTCAAGAGCTGTAATGGCTCTTGATCGCAGTAGATTAGGCCTGGAAAACAAATCAGGCCGGATTTTTTGCGTTCGACAAGTTTACGTTACAAAATCTTGCCAACAAATCTGAGGGTGTGTAAACCAACCTTTAATACTTTTGATACGTCACATCTGAGTTGAAACAGTACTGTTTATCATACAGACCTCGGACAGAATGCACTATTTCACAATTTTTCAAGACATTTTGCACTCAGTCAATAGTCAGGACGATCAATCGTGGGCTCTTAGTGAAACCGTTCAAAACATTTCCAAAATCACCTACACGGCCGGCCGGTTCTCACTTTTGACAAGCCCCCAATTTGCAGTGCGAGCTGCTGTACAGTGTTTGAATGAATATTAGTAGAGTTACGCTTCAACATAATAAAGAACTTATTATGTTTATTTTTTTATTTAATGGTTTTATAACGATGTGTAATCAGATGTGTAATCTTAAAAAGCGTTTGATACGCGCGGCATTATGAGTACTCCTGCAAGCGGTGTTCATGAACAACTGAAAACAAACGGCACAGCGATTAAAATTACAAGAAAAACTACTAACAATCAATAAAAGAAATATAATTCGGTGAACCATTTACAGAGATAACAATTTTCATTCACGAAGACAAGTATTAAAGTGTCTCTAAAAATCCTGAGTCTGATACTAGGTCAGATCATTGACTCAAATCTTACAAACGTGCATAAACTTGCCGCATAAACTGTGCTCGGCTTCATGAAATTAGATATAAAAAACAAACGTCAGATACAATAATTACTCATTTGCAGCTCCTGAAAGCTATCAAGTAAGGCCAGAATCGCTTGAGATTTTTAAACCCTCTTACGCATCAAGCAAGGTGAAAAATGAAAACGATGTCATCCGAAATCGGATTTCCGACTTTGACAAGCGACACATTTCTCAACCAAAAACCCAGTAAACAAACCAGCCATAAATAACAGAAGTCTCTTGATAGCAGCTGTATTTCATTCTGTACACTCAGTGGAAAAAGACAGTTAAAAACATTACAAGTTGACACAAAACTCTGTCAGCCTCAGCTGTCAAAGTAAACAAGTTTCAGGATGCTGCATAAATTTTCCGCATGATCTCATCTGTCAAATTTTGACCAATCAGAGCCAAAAAATTGAACGTAGAGCGTGACCATGGTAAGAAAGGGTCTTCCTCGCCTGTATTGTTAAATAAATGGTAGAATTTTCGCGTCTGAGGTCAGTTTGAAATCAAAATCTTAATAGTGCAGGGCCATAGTGACATAAACACAACTTATTTTAGATTAATTATAAAAAATAAACTTGAGCCTGCGATCCTTTTAAAACTAGTAACTTGTCAGCGGATAACTTCAAAAAATACTCGACCTCGATGGGTCGACACCAGAGTCCGCGGTAAGGTCAGGTGAGACTGGTCAGGGGATAAATCAGTGAAAGGTTCCGGCAATTCTCCTTTTTTACAAAAAGATCAACTCTGCTACTTGAAAAGAGCAGAAATATTAACTTTCTGCATTTATTTTTCATAGAACAACATGCAAAATTGTTACCTTTTTTGTTAAAGCTAGTCGATCAGGTGAAAAGTTAAAAAAGGTACCTTTTTAGAAAAGAAAGGCGGGTATTTTAAGCTCTCGGGTGAAAATATTTTAACGTCAATATTGTCCGCTTTTCATCNTACGCAAAGCACTCACTGCGTTGGAGCAAAAGCGTTTGACCTTAGATCGTCGTCGCCCACACTCCGTAACCTTTGGTTATTACTAGTAATATATAGATTTAGCCAGGGTTAAAAGCGAAGCTCCCATTAATAAATTAATAATTTAAATCAAACAATAAACTTGTAATCCACAAATCAGTTAACTTAAGGGCACATTCATGTGACTTTTGAGGGAAAGGCTTAGTGATTTTAGAGTGAAACATCTTACATCGAGTTGATAGCCTTGTATGTACACCCAAAAAAACAGCAATCATCTTCGATCATATTCAAGAGCTGTAATGGCTCTTGATCGCAGTAGATTAGGCCTGGAAAACAAATCAGGCCGGATTTTTTGCGTTCGACAAGTTTACGTTACAAAATCTTGCCAACAAATCTGAGGGTGTGTAAACCAACCTTTAATACTTTTGATACGTCACATCTGAGTTGAAACAGTACTGTTTATCATACAGACCTCGGACAGAATGCACTATTTCACAATTTTTCAAGACATTTTGCACTCAGTCAATAGTCAGGACGATCAATCGTGGGCTCTTAGTGAAACCGTTCAAAACATTTCCAAAATCACCTACACGGCCGGCCGGTTCTCACTTTTGACAAGCCCCCAATTTGCAGTGCGAGCTGCTGTACAGTGTTTGAATGAATATTAGTAGAGTTACGCTTCAACATAATAAAGAACTTATTATGTTTATTTTTTTATTTAATGGTTTTATAACGATGTGTAATCAGATGTGTAATCTTAAAAAGCGTTTGATACGCGCGGCATTATGAGTACTCCTGCAAGCGGTGTTCATGAACAACTGAAAACAAACGGCACAGCGATTAAAATTACAAGAAAAACTACTAACAATCAATAAAAGAAATATAATTCGGTGAACCATTTACAGAGATAACAATTTTCATTCACGAAGACAAGTATTAAAGTGTCTCTAAAAATCCTGAGTCTGATACTAGGTCAGATCATTGACTCAAATCTTACAAACGTGCATAAACTTGCCGCATAAACTGTGCTCGGCTTCATGAAATTAGATATAAAAAAAGTTAGAGCAGTGTCAGTCCTCCATGAGGTTACAGCTGGAAAACATGGAACTGAAAAGAAACTGTCAGCTTTACAAGAGGCATGTCAACACACAAGAAAAAGATATGCAAAACACGGAAAGGTGAGGATGTAGGCCTCAATAACTACGTGTAAAATCTTTAATGTTATATGCAATCATCTATAAATAATAAAATTTATGACATAGTAATAAAAGAGGGAAAAAAGTAAGTAATTATTGACAGGTCAAGTAAGCTAGCTGTTGTTACTCAGATCGATCAGATTGGAAACTGGAAAAGCTGGTTTTTAAGAGAAGATCAGGAGATACAGGAGTACAGTTGAGAAAAGTTTCAGAGCAAGGATAAGAATCAAGGATGCTCCCATTTAACACTAATTTAATAATCATGATAAAAACTAGATTTAAAATTTTCAACAACAATCTAACGGTTGTATTTTACTACTACTATTATTAGTAAGGTTGAGAAATGCCTCGTTTTTATCAATATTGTGTTGCCATCTTATGTACTTTTCAGACTTGTAGTTAAATTACTAAGCATGGTGCAAAGACAGTACCTCCTCTTAAAAGGTGTCGGTCTTGCTACTGATGAGTTAACGGAAGAATACAATAACGTAATTGAAACAGTCGAAAATGGAAGAGAAGTAATGTGGGCAGATCAGAGCATAAAAGACAGTGATGATGGTGACAAGCAAATATCATTCATAATTAACTGTCAGTCCACAACTTTTGGTAAGTTATGACATGTCTGAAATCATTTATTGTGGTTTCAAATTGAGTGAGCACCAGTCCAATCACATTAAATTATTATTTAAGACCAACTTACAATCAAGTCAGTTCAATTATAATTTTTTAAATGTACCTCATAACAGTCCTAAGGACCTGACCTCGGTGATTCTCGGCAATGAGAGTGGGATTATTAACCGGCAGAATTAATAACAAATTGGGAAAAAGTAATGTAATTAGTGAGCATGCACTTATCCGTGAACCTGTACCTTTAATTCATTGGCAAGAGTGCTCCACTGGTATCGCAGCAGCCAGGGTTCAAATCCCAGCAAGGGTAAATTTTTTTCAAGCTTTCAAGTTGCGTCTTTAATGCGATCATTGTCTTTGTATTTCTCCATATTTTTTTTTGTTTAAATAACCGGTCTGATTTGTTTTTTCTTCTTAAAGGAACATCTCAGATACGCACTCCCATCAGAAAGCGTCAATTCAACACACCCATGGCAAACACAGACAAACGCACCCCTCAAAGAAGGATCCCTTTTGCTCAAGAACCAATGAAGACATTTACACTATCAGCAACATCAAAAATGCGTAATCTTAAGTTGGCAACAGATGATTCAGACTTTGCCAGTACTCGGATTTCTCTGACAAAAGAATTTGAGGCAATGTCTTCACCAGCGAAATCATCTCTTCCAGCTAGAGGACAAAACATGGTGTCAGCAAAAGGTGACGTGTCTGTTGTTCAAGCAAACAGTAGCTCTACAACACCGCTACGGATTCCATCATCTTTTACTGCAGTGTCAGGGACTAACACCAGTACTAGTAATTCTGTGTCATCACTTGGAACAGTTCTTTGTCAAAACAGTTTGAATAAGCCTCTAAGATGTCCAACAAAACAAGGAACTCCTCATCCTAAAATTTGCTGGGGTGAAAAACATGGCAATGTCAGCCCTCAATGTACTTCTCCTGAACAGGCTCAAAACGTTAGTACTATATGTACACCCATGAGGGACACTAACCAATTCAACTTATCAGGAATACAGCCACTTAAGGAGACTCCAGCAGAAAAAAATCAACGACTGTCATCAGGAAAGGTACTAATTAGCATAATTTATTCTCTTATTTATAATAGATGTTGCCGACTACTAAATTTGGCAGTCTTGATAGAATAAAATAATTTTGTTGGTGAAAAACAATAGTTTAATGCATGTTGAAGTCAATGGATGACAGAGAGTCTACTCAAGATCTCAAAGATGTAAATTGAACCACTTTGAAATTACAGGTGCATAGAAGGTGGACCAAACAGGTAAAAAAAAGGCTCACTCCAGGAAAAAAAGGAAATAATATCCTGAGTCTCATTCAATACAAAAAAAAATTAAGTTTGCAAATGGAAAGAAAAACTTAAAAATTTGTTTCTCTTCATACAAACATTCAGGATCAGTTAAAGTCTTACTTAGACCGCAGTTTAAGAAATCATTGGACTTCCAGATCTTCCTGATTAAGTTATTTTAAAAAGATATAAGAAGATAAATGTTTCTAATCTACCCTGTAATTATGCTTCCATTAACCCTGTTCAGAATAAATGGTTTTGAGATAAATGCATTGAGAAACTGAAATGGTTTACAATGTGGTTTTGTTGAACACTAGCTAATTGTTTTTCCCAATTAAAATGCATCGTTTGTTTACAGATAAGAGGACCTACACTAAATAATCCTCTGGCAACACCCCTCCGAGAACTGCCTACCAACAGGTCAAATGTTGTAAAAGATAAGCTGCCTTCCATACTGGAGCAACTGGGAAATCCTTTTAGTAAGAGTAAGAATAAAATATGACCAATTTTCAGCTTTGTTTTGAAATTACTAGCCTGCGTAGCATGTGTTTCCGTTTAGTTTCGGAGCAAAAAAAAGCGAAGAACGGGATTTTCGGTTTTGACCACACGAGAAATGAAACGAGAGCCATTTTTCGCACGGTCTTTGACTCTTGTTCCGCGTTCTTTACTCCTAAACCGCACAGAGATGCGTGCTATGCAGGCTATGAAATTATACGCCTTGGCCTCAGGGCTTGCCTGAGAAAACAGGCAACATTTCACCTCAACCTACAACTGGTTTCCCTGAGAAATCATGTCTGAGGTATGACTGATGACCTGTCACAACCCAGATCTGGGTAGCGCCTCTGACTGGTTGAAGCAAATTTCTCTTGTGGCATGACCATTGACAATCAGAAGCACTACACAGATCTGGGTAGTGGAACATCATCGGGATGGAATGTCTGCCAGGGTTTGCACAGTTTTGAAAAGTCCTTGAATTTTACGGGAAATTTGAATGTAAGTGGCCTGGAAAGTGTTTTTTGATGCTTTTTGGTTCTCCAAGACAGAATATGAATCATAGCTCAGAGAATTTAAAGGTTATTTACACAAAGTGCTCAATGTTTTATGCAATAATTAACTATCAATTTAAGACAAGTGAACTGAAAAATGTAGAGAAGTTGGTGAAGCAAACAGTTCAAGCGTTAAAGCCTTATTAGAATAGACTGGGAATGTGCGTTTTTGTACAATCTGTGAAATTATATTCCTGGTAGGTGGTCCTTGAAAAGTCCTTGAAAAATGGTTGCAATTTTTTGTATGAACCCTGCCTGCACTCATAGACATTCCTCTGAGGTCCTTTTGTGGGGAAGCCAGCAGTGTAGTCGTTTTCTCAGGCTACATCAGGACCTTATGGAAAATAATGATTTCATTAATAGTAAATGCGTATGACTGGTACACAAATGTAATTGTTATATAGCTGGAAACTTTTCCAACAACGTGCGCTCTCATTGGTTACTTTTAGGTCACATGACATCTAACAATGAAACTGCTTTCCGCCAAAATCTCTGAGCGGGCAAATTGCAAAAAATTAATTACAAAAAAAGGAACAATATTGTAAAATCTATGACGTCGGAGAGTAAGAGTGCACTGTTACCCGCAAATGTTGATTGATGACCGTTTTTACAACGAGGTTTAATGAATTTCCAGCTTCAAAATTTGCTTTAACTGTTTCCCTCTGGACCAGTCTTTAATTGTTGGGTGCTCGTTTAGTTTTTCAGTACTTGGTTAGCTGCTATTCCTGGGAACTATCAGGGCTGTCACCAGACTATGTCCCTATTCTGCAAAAATAACTGTTTAGAAATTCAGAGGTTGTAGTTTACTGTATGTAGGGTGCAAAAGTTTAAAACATCTCTTTACTGTACCTTGCAGAGAAATCAACTAGTGAAAGAAGAAGTACAGACATGATGCCAAAGAGGTGAGTTCTTTATATGTCTTGATTATGCATAGCTTGTCATAGGCATAGGTGGAAAGAAAATGTGAGTGCACGTTAAAAAGAGAGGAACCTTTAATCTCTTTTTCTATCCTATTAGAGTGCACAATGCCACAAAAGAAAACATGCACAAGCCAAAGCAACCTTCAAGGTGTAACAGTGTTGTAGAGCTTGACAAACTGCAGTCAAAGAAAGTTAAGAAACACATGAATGGACTAAGAAGAGCAATGAGTAGCACAAGTATCGGAACAAGCAGAAACTTTGCACCACGATCATCGTAAGTATTATTTAGTACCATCCGATAAACTAGTTACTATTAATGATAATATTATTCAAAAATGTTGTTGATCACTTATGCAAGTAGCATATAGTATTAGTAAGTCTTGCATAGTTAAGTATAACAAAAGTTTGTTGATCAACAAAATTTAGCACTGCCGAACAAAAGTACAAGTTGACCTTTTTGGTTCAGCAATTTGACCAACTGTGCCACAATTCTTTAAGTATTTATTATAAAATTCAATATAATATTAAAAATGCCACCATGATGTCTGATAAAAAAGAACTATTACTTCGGCGGAGCGCGAAGTAAAGGATTCGCGACGCTCAGGAATGTATCAAAGTTGCAATTTTTTGACAAGATTGGGCAAGCAAAGTTTGTAGGTTTTCGGCTCTATTCGGCTATTTGAAGAAGTGAGAGCCGAATTAGTTCGAGATATCTCGAGATCACTTCGATTTCTTTGATTTATTCTTTAACTTTTTCGAGGAAGAAAGAATTACTATTTTGGCCTTCCCGGGGTTTGAACCGACTCACCTGTGTGACCCGTCAGATCAGAGGAGACTCTAAGTTGAGGGATTAGCCGATTGCGCTACTGCGACCCAAGGTAGTTTGGGATATGAAAAATAGTTATGAAATCATGCACTAGTTTCAGGACAAGATTGGGCGTGCAAGTTCGTGACTTTTCGGCTTGTTTCAACTATTTCACGAAATGAGATCGGACTACTTCGTGATATCTTGAGATCACTTCGAGTTTAGTCTTTAATTACTCGAGGACTAAATAGAGGATATTTCGTGGCCGCGCAGAGACACGAAATTTCTCTTCGAGTGTTGAAAAACATTTCACGAGTGAGCCCTCCTTTCGAACTGTTTTATGATGAATTTAAAGTTACAAAATGCTGCACAAAGACATCTTGTCTTTGTTGAGTGTTACGTAGTAAAATTGCTTCCATGCGTTGCGTGACTTTCTCGAACGTTCTCGACGTTTTGGATTATTCATGAATAATTAATTAGGGCATGTTTACATTTCAGCATGAGTCAGCAGATTTGCATCCGTTACTGAAATCATATAATATGTCGAAAAGCTACTACTATTCGCCTGTTTAGTATTTTCTAGAACCTTATGTCAAACGGTATACAAGTTCCAAGCGAGTTCTTTTGACGAACTAAGTTTTTTCCCACGAGCTGGACTGCTGTGTTTAGTCAAGTGTGACGAAGGTCGATTTTCAGGTTCTGTGTTTACAAGTTCGCGGAAGCCGTAAGATATCTGAAGTTCAAGTGAGAACGTAATTGACTCCTTACCCATGCCTTACATATCTTTAATCAGTACATGAGACTGCTATGCTGTTTTTGAAGCCTGATGTGACTAAGAAAAATAGAGAATTGTTTTTTAGAAGGATTTGTATGGAGTCATCAGAGCATAACTGGGCTAATTTCGCGGAGACAATTTGTCCTGAAATGCTAGTTTTTGGCAAGTAGGCCTCTTGGATGTTGCTCTTTTCAGAATATCCTGACAAATCCCATAATTTCACACCTTACTCTTACCATATTTGATTTCTTACTATTCCTCCGCATTTACAATTAATTAGTTCCACAACCACGACGCCGAAGTGTACGCTAGCTCCGTAGCGTCTTGTTTTTACATAGTTTACAACATGAAATTTTGTTGTAAAAATTTGCTGCTGACTTTGTTAGTAACTCTCGCCTTTATTCAACACTTCTGATAGGCCATTTCCGAGTTCCCTCGGGCCTCTGTATCAAAACGAGGCTAAGTGCTCAACATTTGATATCGAAATGATTTTTCATTCTCATGCAAATAAAACTCATTTTCACATGAAAAGGTTGTGCACTTGGCCTCACTTTGAAAGTGAGGGTTTTGGAACTCGGAAGTGGCCTATTGCGGACGACAAGAGGAGCCCGCAATCCTTAAATCTCCAGGTTGTTATTACGCATACATCGCATGTATGTAGCCAGCATTTGATTGGACTTTCACTAACAATGAATGGAATGCACAGAACGCTGTTTGATTACGCGCATTTCGACCTTCTACCCCTCGTAATCTGATCACGCATGTTTTGACCATCTGTCCCGAGAAACTTACGCAAAGCACTCACTGCGTTGGAGCAAAAGCGTTTGACCTTAGATCGTCGTCGCCCACACTCCGTAACCTTTGGTTATTACTAGTAATATATAGATTTAGCCAGGGTTAAAAGCGAAGCTCCCATTAATAAATTAATAATTTAAATCAAACAATAAACTTGTAATCCACAAATCAGTTAACTTAAGGGCACATTCATGTGACTTTTGAGGGAAAGGCTTAGTGATTTTAGAGTGAAACATCTTACATCGAGTTGATAGCCTTGTATGTACACCCAAAAAAACAGCAATCATCTTCGATCATATTCAAGAGCTGTAATGGCTCTTGATCGCAGTAGATTAGGCCTGGAAAACAAATCAGGCCGGATTTTTTGCGTTCGACAAGTTTACGTTACAAAATCTTGCCAACAAATCTGAGGGTGTGTAAACCAACCTTTAATACTTTTGATACATCACGTCTGAGTTGAAACAGTACTGTTTATCATACAGACCTCGGACAGAATACACTATTTCACAATTTTTCAAGACAAATTGCACTCAGTCAATAGTCAGGACGATCAATCGTGGGCTCTTAGTGAAACCGTTCAAAACATTTCCAAAATCACCTACACGGCCGGCCGGTTCTCACTTTTGACAAGCCCCCAATTTGCAGTGCGAGCTGCTGTACAGTGTTTGAATGAATATTAGTAGAGTTACGCTTCAACATAATAAAGAACTTATTATGTTTATTTTTTTATTTAATGGTTTTATAACGATGTGTAATCAGATGTGTAATCTTAAAAAGCGTTTGATACGCGCGGCATTATGAGTACTCCTGCAAGCGGTGTTCATGAACAACTGAAAACAAACGGCACAGCGATTAAAATTACAAGAAAAACTACTAACAATCAATAAAAGAAATATAATTCGGTGAACCATTTACAGAGATAACAATTTTCATTCACGAAGACAAGTATTAAAGTGTCTCTAAAAATCCTGAGTCTGATACTAGGTCAGATCATTGACTCAAATCTTACAAACGTGCATAAACTTGCCGCATAAACTGTGCTCGGCTTCATGAAATTAGATATAAAAAACAAACGTCAGATACAATAATTACTCATTTGCAGCTCCTGAAAGCTATCAAGTAAGGCCAGAATCGCTTGAGATTTTTAAACCCTCTTACGCATCAAGCAAGGTGAAAAATGAAAACGATGTCATCCGAAATCGGATTTCCGACTTTGACAAGCGACACATTTCTCAACCAAAAACCCAGTAAACAAACCAGCCATAAATAACAGAAGTCTCTTGATAGCAGCTGTATTTCATTCTGTACACTCAGTGGAAAAAGACAGTTAAAAACATTACAAGTTGACACAAAACTCTGTCAGCCTCAGCTGTCAAAGTAAACAAGTTTCAGGATGCTGCATAAATTTTCCGCATGATCTCATCTGTCAAATTTTGACCAATCAGAGCCAAAAAATTGAACGTAGAGCGTGACCATGGTAAGAAAGGGTCTTCCTCGCCTGTATTGTTAAATAAATGGTAGAATTTTCGCGTCTGAGGTCAGTTTGAAATCAAAATCTTAATAGTGCAGGGCCATAGTGACATAAACACAACTTATTTTAGATTAATTATAAAAAATAAACTTGAGCCTGCGATCCTTTTAAAACTAGTAACTTGTCAGCGGATAACTTCAAAAAATACTCGACCTCGATGGGTCGACACCAGAGTCCGCGGTAAGGTCAGGTGAGACTGGTCAGGGGATAAATCAGTGAAAGGTTCCGGCAATTCTCCTTTTTTACAAAAAGATCAACTCTGCTACTTGAAAAGAGCAGAAATATTAACTTTCTGCATTTATTTTTCATAGAACAACATGCAAAATTGTTACCTTTTTTGTTAAAGCTAGTCGATCAGGTGAAAAGTTAAAAAAGGTACCTTTTTAGAAAAGAAAGGCGGGTATTTTAAGCTCTCGGGTGAAAATATTTTAACGTCAATATTGTCCGCTTTTCATCCATTTCTCACTTTACCAAACAAAACTTTAAAGCGCGAAAAAGGTACCTTTTTTCAGTTTGAAGCGATCTCTTCAAAAGCGCGAAAAAGGTACCTTTTTGCGGTTTAGAAACGTTCCTATTAAAAGAGCAAAAAAGGTACCTTTTTTGCGGTTGGAAGCGATGTTCTCTTAAGTGCGAAAAAAGAACCTTAAAAATAAATGACGTTTCAATTAAAATCCTACTAATTGACAGATGTCAAGCAACCGTTGGCGCCCCTAACGAACGACACACAGACGTTTTTAGGGGACTCTATGTCCCGTTTTTAATAATATAAATTACAACTGTTAAGCAACAAATGTTTACCATTATATGAATAAATTGTTGTTTAAGGCCCAGTTCAGACGCCGCTCCACTCATGTGCCGAACCTAACTGATGAATTAAGTACGGCAAAAGAGCGGCGTCTGAATCAATTTGGTACGGCAGTTTTAGTTTGGTGCGGCAAAAGCGTTAAGTTCGACAGAGTCTGTCGAACTTTTGTCGAACTTAACTTAGGTTCGACACACGGTACGCCGTCTGAATCAGATGTCGCGCCAGTGTCGCTCCAAAGTCGAACTTATTCAGTTAGGTTCGGCACATGAAAAGTGCGGCGTCTGAACCAGGTCTTAGGCTACGTGCAAACGGGCGCAACAACTCCCAACAATGTTGCGTCCGTTTGCACGGGGCTAAAAGTTTGACCGGTTTCAAACTTTGCGCAACAACACGCAACAACATCCAACAACATGCAACAGGGTGTGCAAACGGACGCAACATGTAACATCCAACAATGTTGGGAGTTGTTGGTCAATAATGTTGCGTCCGTTTGCACGCAGCCTAAGTAAATTTCATAATATTACTAGCAAATCTTTACACCTTCTGTTAATTTATTATTTTCAAATTGATGAATAAGACAAGAAGGTTCCATAAACAATACAGCTCTAAGAAATTTTTCCTGCTGCAAACACTCACCTCAATAATATGGACAAGAAAAATGTTTTAACTTTGCTTTGTTGTTTGGAAGAGTCTCATAAGGACTTAATGATATTTTACTAGTTCAACACTTGGTTTAAACCATTTTACAGTTTTTTACAGTGGTTACCACTAACACGCACCCTCAAAGGGTCTTCAGTTCAAACCTGGGATTTGGTGGACGTCAATCAACTGTTACCATGGTTTTCACGCACTGGCCAAGAGAAGATTGTTTCCCCGTTTCTCGAGCACTCGGAGGAAAATTTCGTCGTTTAAAGCCGTTTTTACAATATTTTGCTACAGGATCTGACACCGCTTCATGTCAAGATTACGAGGAGTACGAATTTGTAGAGTGTATGCCGGAGGAAACTCAAATTATCGACTTATTTAAACACTGTAAGTTACAACCACATAAGCTTTCTCGGCAATACACGCTCGCAACTCGTCTGAGTTCTTGCTAGTTTAGGATTCTATTCGATCATAACATGAAAAATGATAAGTAGATCTGCAGGTAACAAAGTTCATTTTCGAAAACCACCTCCGTTCACAGGAAACCTTTGTCCCTTGTCTTTGTGACATCATTTGTTCACTGAATTTGTGTTCCTTGGCAATTCGTCCACGGCTCCCGTGATTTCATACAATCAAATAAATAAACAACCTGAAAACCATTACGTTTAATAACTATAGAGATTATTTCGGCTATTTCACTCAGCTCGCAGAGACCTCATTGTTTTAACAATGTAATCCTTCATCTTGATGAAATAAATAAAATTTAAAACGCCGTATTCTGGTAAGTCTTCGCCCTTCATTCAGCGATAAGGGAACCTTCTCTGTCAGAGCACGTGAGAAAACCTTGGGAAAACCATGGAATCAGTTGATTGACGTCCACGAAAACTCAGGTTTCAACAGAGAAAAAACCATTCGAGAGCGCGTGTTAGTGGTAAACGCTGTAACAAAATTTTTATAAAACCATTTTTGCCTCAATTTTAGAGCTGTTTACCAGAATTTACCAAAAACAAAGATTTAATTGAAATGTAAGTGAAAATGACTGTAGAGTAAACTTATGGGATTTTTTGGGATATTCTGAAAGAGCAAGATCCTAAGCCGTACCCTTAGGGGGAAAGTACTCTTGGGAATTCTTAATGAAGGTGTGCCACCCGGTTCTCCAAATCCTGACCCTACTTCAGACCAAAAAATGTAATTTTCCACACCCGTTTTTCAGACCAGACCTCTGAAATTCATACCCGTTTTCTGACCTCGTCTTTAGGCAGAAATTATGTTATCATTACTCACATTAGAGTCCAAACAAAAAAATTCTTTAAGTCCATTTCGAATTCGCATATTTCCTTTTCTTTCTACTCATTTCGAATTGACACGATTAATACGTTCATACATTCCCGTAGTTGCCTCAAAAATTTCCGACCAAAACGGCGCAAAAATTATATCCGATAAGGGGGCACATACCTATATAGCNAAATTTCGTTGTTTAAAGCCGTTTTTGCAATATTTTGCTAAAGGATCTGACACCGCTTCATGTCAAGATTACGAGGAGTACGAATTTGTTGAGTGTATGCCGGAGGAAACTCAAATTATCGACCTATTTAAAAACTGTAAGTTACAACCACATAAGCTTTCTCGGCAATACACGCTCGCAACTCGTCTGAGTTCTTGCTAGTTTAGGATTCTATTCGATCATAACATGAAAAATGATAAGTAGATCTGCAGGTAACAAAGTTCATTTTCGAAAACAACCTCCGTTCACAGGAAACCTTTGTCCCTTGTCTGTGTGACATCTTTTGTTCCCTGAATTTGTGTTCCTTGGCAATTTGTCCACGGCTCCCGTGATTTCATACAATCAAATAAATAAACAACCTGAAAACCATTACGTTTAATAACTATAGAGATTATTTCGGCTATTTCACTCAGCTCGCAGAGACCTCATTGTTTTAACAATGTAATCCTTCATCTTGATGAAATAAATAAAATTTAAAACGCCGTATTCTGGTAAGTCTTCGCCCTTCATTCAGCGATAAGGGAACCTTCTCTGTCAGAGCACGTGAGAAAACCTTGGGAAAACCATGGAATCAGTTGATTGACGTCCACGAAAACTCAGGTTTCAACAGAGAAAAAACCATTCGAGAGCGCGTGTTAGTGGTAAACGCTGTAACAAAATTTTTATAAAACCATTTTTGCCTCAATTTTAGAGCTGTTTACCAGAATTTACCAAAAACAAAGATTTAATTGAAATGTAAGTGAAAATGACTGTAGAGTAAACTTATGGGATTTTTTGGGATATTCTGAAAGAGCAAGATCCTAAGCCGTACCCTTAGGGGGAAAGTACTCTTGGGAATTCTTAATGAAGGTGTGCCACCCGGTTCTCCAAATCCTGACCCTACTTCAGACCAAAAAATGTAATTTTCCACACCCGTTTTTCAGACCAGACCTCTGAAATTCATACCCGTTTTCTGACCTCGTCTTTAGGCAGAAATTATGTTATCATTACTCACATTAGAGTCCAAACAAAAAAATTCTTTAAGTCCATTTCGAATTCGCATATTTCCTTTTCTTTCTACTCATTTCGAATTGACACGATTAATACGTTCATACATTCCCGTAGTTGCCTCAAAAATTTCCGACCAAAACGGCGCAAAAATTATATCCGATAAGGGGGCACATACCTATATAGCTTATATAAGGGAGTACCCCACCCCCGGAAGCCTTATTCGCCTATAATTGGCAATTCAGGGCAAACTGGCTCTGAGATATTAGGACTGTCATTATGACTGCATCCAAATCCTTCTTATTTTGACTTGGGTCAAACATAAGAGTCAACAGAGCATATCAGTGCTAATCTCCCAGATCCAATTTGCCTTGAAATGCTGATTTTGGTGAAATGGAACCCTGCAGATACGCTTGACCTGGCTTGACCGTATTAACAATCTTTTGAGTCATATATTGTCATGTTTCTTTATTATGTTGTTAAAGTTTCCTTCCTCATTTTTATTAGTATTCTATGTACTTCTTATTATAATTTATTTTAACTTTGCATTTACAATATTTCAAACTGAATATGACAGTTGACCTGCCAAAACGTGTTTTTAAGCATTAAAAACTGTTTAAACAGCTGTTTTATTAGAACAACAAAGAAAAAACCCTCTTATTCAATGTTAAGTCAACATTATATTTTCAATGTTCTCAGCAAGTACCCTAGTTAATTTTATTACTTTCATTTTTTAGGCCAAAAAGAGGGAATTCTGTTTGCCAATATTCCACAGACAGACCAAGATGGCAATAGATGACAGCAGCTGTATACAATGCTTTGATCATGCTGCCAAGTTTCTCTTTGAAGTTACCCAGTCACCATTAACATTAATGTTATTGTTGTCTCTTTACATACTAAATAACAACTAAGAAATTCATTTTACACTCTGGTACTCTAGATGCTATATTTTTGTCTTAATTGAGGAATTTGAATCGTTTGGAATGGGTTTGAGGTGCATTTTAAACATAAAATACGTTTGAAACACTTTGAGTTAGTCACATCAACTTATTTTAGTAGAGGATGATCAATGTTACTACAACTTTAAATAAATTTTTTTTATACTTTCATTACCAATAAACGTTTTGAGTCAGTTTTTTAAACGAAATCTAACTTAGGCCACGGTTTAAGAAATCATTGGACCTCCAGATATTCTTCTTAAGGGGTTGATTTAAGAAAATAAGTGCTTTTCCAGACAACACTATATGCTTTATTCAAATTGTTCATGAAAAGTGGTGCTTAGATAAAAGTGTTAGGCAAACTGAAAATGGCTTAGAACGTGGTTTTGTTAAACGCGGGCTAAATTCTGTTTAAATAATTGACCACTCCAGAAAATACCATAATGTACTATAATGCTCTTTGTTTGTCCCCCCAAAATCTTGCATAAGCATTGTCTTCAGTTTCTCTTGGGAGTTAAAATGGCCCCAAGAGAAACTGAAAACAATGCTTATGCAAAATTTTGGGGTGACAAACAAAGAGCATTATGGTATGTTATGGTATTTTCTGGAGTGGTCAGTTGACCCTTTGTGTTAAAATAAAACCAACAAAAGCTGTGTTTATGTTTTGACACTTAAATACCAGTTTATTTACAACTAACAAGTAATTGAATCACTTCCGACAAAAATGTAGCAAGCTGAGCTGCTTTAGTTCTTCTTTTTATCTTCAATGCATAGTACCTGAGGGAGTTTCTGGCCATCCTCAGTAACCCAGGGGTATTCTTGCTGTTCAGACAATGTTTGCCCATTTGGCAACATGATTCGCACCTCGCCTGCTTCACATCTCACAAAGACAAGGCCATCAACATGCTTGAGTCTCATCCACTCAGCAATGGCTAATGCAGCAGCATGACGGGTACCAAAACGCTTCCCATCGGCTTTGCAAAGTTGATAGTGCTGTGGGAGGAACTTAAGTTGCGCTGTAGCAGCTAGTACTGTACCACTGTGTGAAAGCACAAAGGCACCATCCTTCGGTTGCATTTTCAAAGCTGCAAATTCTGGTAACGTTTTTAATGAGCTGTCTCCAGAATTTGCTGCAAGGTCCTCAAGGAGTGACTGCTCCCAGCGATCTGATGTATTAGGTGTGCAGAAGGCATGTAGGAGGTGTGGAAAAAATGGGTTATGTACTCTGTTAGCCTTTATTTGACATAACTTGTGAAGACAGTCATTGTCTAATGACAAAAGTTGCAGATCATTCTTGTGTTCCTTGTCAACAATCACAAACATAGCGCCGCCATGCAGATTAGGACTAGTAAGGAGATTAAGTGCTGTATTCAAGGTGGCGCAATATTTTTCCTTGCCAGATGCAATCATAGAGAACACATGACCAAGGTCTTCTAGCTTCACTGGTACTGCTTGCATAACTTCCAGGAACTCTAATTTTACACAGGAAGTAACTATATCTGTGGATGACGCAAGAGAATAAGACCCTTTGAAGGACTCAAAATGCAAGAATTTTCCCTTTAAAAGCTCATCCAAATAACACTTGCCAGGGGTTAGCTTAAACGAAAAAGGTTCCTCTGGTGCTCTTAAATAGCTAAAAATATATTTATTACTCAAGTCTCTATATAATTCAATAATATGCAAATGCAGATCCTTCAAAGACTCAAGAGAGATTTCATACTCAATTCCTCGAGTAGCATGGCTGCGCATTTTGTAGCCAGTTTTTATAACTATCCAGTTCATAAGTCCAATCAAATCATCAGATATCTGCCAAGTAGCATTGCGTGGGTCATGGTGTCGATGATTCACAACAATCTTAGCTTCTCCAATCTTTCCACCTATGTCAATTCGTTCATCCTCCATAGCAAACCAGTGAGCTAAAAAGTCATGTAAAGCATGAATTTGAATGGCTCGAGGATATCTTTTCACCGTCTCTAAAAAGTCCTTTTTCACTGCGCGATCCCATGACCACATTTGCCTTGACAAGTCTCTCCAAAAGTGCATCATGTTGCCAGGATTAAGGTCACCATGGACTTCTTCATGTTTAGTATGTAGATACTTGAGCATACCTATAATGAACTTCAGATTCTCAAGAATCAGTGGCACAGCTTTAAAGCTTATCATAATAGTGTAAAGTGAGCAACTTTTATAAAAGAGTACAGGACGTCTAGGTTGGAACATACCGCGAACTACTTTCAAGACAACGTGACGGTTATCAAGACGTGGCAGAAGTTCGGTTTGCTTCTCAACTAAGAAGCAGCAGCCAAAGGCTCCATGTCCAATCCTTTCCACGATTCTATAGTCAGGTGGTAGCTCATGTTGAAAATGAAGCCTAGCCATATTGACATCCAAATCTTTAAAGCCATCGTAATTCTCTGCATCTAATATTGCCAAACTTTCACACTCAACCTCTTTGGGTGGTGTTACGTAACCCAAATCAATCCAGGATTTCTTCTCTGCCAGCCCAGTGTCCTCTATGTGTTTTCTTTCATCTGACGAATCAGACGAATCACTTGTTGATGTGTTGAGTTCTTCCTTTAAATTTTCAACATCTTCATACTGCTCCTCTTCATAATACAGCTCCTGTTTTTCGACAAGGTCTGGCTGTGGATTTTGCTCCTGTGTGTGTTCTTGCAGTAGCCGACTATGCCCTTCTTCTTCGAGCGATCCTTGTGGTTGCAGACTGTCTTTGCTTCCGTTAGATAGAAGGTTTCCCATTCCATTCGCGGTGTGCGGTTAGGGAATCTGTTACATGCAAAGCATCTCACAACAAGGTTTACCTGGCTTACCTGCCTGTCTGCAAGTCTACAGGCTGCGTTTGTCGCACACCGTTCTTCATCCGTTAGAATGTTCTACATTTTTTTGTGTACGTCCTTTCTTTAAAATCATGGGAAATGCACAATTACGTCAGTTTACTTCCTTTCCATGAAAGGAAAGTCGAAAAGTAGTTAGCCAACGAGAGCATCCGGTTTTTTGGGCTCGAATTTCACCCGCCGGAGGGAGAGAAGCGACGACCAGAAATACTCTGCGATTTGCAGATTTACAGGCTATGGTTTAGTTCAGACTCTTAAATAAATCGTGTTTATAAGAGAAAAGAAACTTTGCAACACAAATTTGTTTGCGTCGAGGCATATAAAAAGGGAGAAGGCCTCACTTCCGGTTAACGTGCGCCGCCCAAAACCATGAGAAAGTAGGGCGAAGTACCAAAAAATATTCGCGCAAGGGAAAATTAAATGAAAAAAATTCATGCACGCCAATTAACCCTGAAAAATATTCATGCTACGGCCTGAAATATATTCATACAAGGAATTTGATAACGAAAAACAAATTCCTGCGGCTCAAAAATTCCTCACCCCCCCCCCCCCCAAAACCTTTTAATGGTCCCCTCCTTACACCCCCCCTCTCCGGGCTACAAAACCGGGGGGGACTCATGTGTTTTCCCATAAATTGTGTCTTTGTTTTTTTTTTTGTTGTTAGTGACTTTTTTTTTGTTTTTTCTTCTAGAGAGATTTCATACTCAATTCCTCGAGTAGCATGGCTGCGCATTTTGTAGCCAGTTTTTATAACTATCCAGTTCATAAGTCCAATCAAATCATCAGATATCTGCCAAGTAGCATTGCGTGGGTCATGGTGTTGATGATTCACAACAATCTTAGCTTCTCCAATCTTTCCACCTATGTCAGCATCAATAATGCATGCAATTTGTTCATCCTCCATAGCAAACCATTGAGCTAAAAAGTCATGTAAAGCATGAATTTGAATGGCTTGAGGATATCTTTTCACCGTCTCTAAAAAGTCCTTTTGCACTGCGCGATCCAATGACCACATTTGCCTTGACATGTCTTTCCAAAAGTACATCATGTTGCCAGGATTAAGGTCACCATGGACTTCTTCATGTTTAGTATGTAGATACTTGAGCATACCTATAATGAACTTCAGATTCTCAAGAATCAGTGGCACGGCTTTAAAGCTTATCATAATAGTGTATAGGGAGCAACTTTTATAAAAGATTACAGGACGTCTAGGTTGGAACATACCGTGAACTACTTTCAAGACAACGTGACGGTTATCAGTGCATGGCAGAAGTTCGGTTTGCTTCTCAACTAAGAAGCAGCAGCCAAAGGCTCCATGTCCAATCCTTTCCACGATTCTGTAGTCAGGTGGTAGCTCATGTTGAAAATGAAGCCTAGCCATATTGACATCCAAATCTTTAAAGCCATCGTAATTCTCTGGATCTAATATTGCCAAACTTTCACACTCAACCTCTTTGCGTGGCGTTACGTAACCCAAATCAATCCAGGATTTCTTCTCTGCCAGCCCAGTGTCCTCTATGTGTTTTCTTTCATCTGACGAATCACTTGTTGATGTGTTGAGTTCCTCCTTTAAATCTTCAACATTTTCATACTGCTCCTCTTGCAGCTCCTGTTTTTCGACAAGGTCTGGCTGTGGATTTTGCTCCTGTTTGTGTTCTTGCAGTAGCCGACTATGCCCTTCTTCTTCGAGCCGTCCTTGTGGTTGCAGACTGTCTTTGCTTCCGTTAGATAGAAGGTTTCCCATTCGCGGTGTGCGATTAGGGAATCTGTTACATGTAAAGCATCTCGCAACAAGGTTTACCTGGCTTATCTACCTGTCTGCAAGTCTACAGGCTTTGTTTTTCGCACACCGTTCTTCATCCGTTAGAATGTTCTACATTTTTTTGTGTACGTCCTTTCTTTAAAATCATGGGAAATGCACGATTACGTCAGTTTACTTCCTTTCCATGAAAGGAAAGTCGAAAAGTAGTTAGCCAACGAGAGCATCCGGTTTTTGGGGCTCTAATTTCACCCGCCGGAGGGAGAGAAGCGACGACCAGAAATACTCTGCGATTTGCAGATTTACAGGCTACGGTTTAGTTCAGACTCTTAAATAAATCATGTTTATAAGAGAAAGGAAACTTAGCAATACAAATTTGTTTGCGTCGAGGCATATAAAAAGGGAGAAGGCCTCAGTTCCGGTTAACGTGCGCCGCCCAAAACCATGAGAAAGTAGGGCGAAATACCAAAAAATATTCGCGCAAGGGAAAATTAAATGAAAAATATTCATGCTACGGCCTGAAATATATTCATACAAGGAATTTGATAACGAAAAAAAATTTCTGCGGCTCAAAAATTCCTCACCCCCCCCC